TATGTATCATCTATATCTACTATATCTATATAAGATCTACAGAGCTTCTCAACTTATAGTGGAGTTGACCTCACGATAAACCCATCCTAAGTTGAAAATATCACAAGTCCAGATGCATTTAATATACCTCACCTACCAAACATCATAACTTAGCCTAGCCTATCTTACATGTACTCAGAACACTTACAGGAGCCTACCATTGGACAGAATCATCCCTGCAACACAGAGCTTATTTTATAATAAAGTGTTGCATATCTAATGTAGGTATTGAGTACTGTACTGAAAGTGAAAACCAGAATGGTTGCATGGCTACGGAATGTAATTGTGAGTTGTTTACCCTTTGTGATCACCTGGCTGACTGGTAGCCGCAGTGCTGCCCCTGCCCATCATCATGGAGGGTGGAGAGTATCACACCACATATTGTTAGTCCAGGGAAAGATCAAAATTCAAAGAGAGGAGAATATCACACCACAAACTGTTAGTCCAGGGAAAGATCAAAATTCAAAATTCGGAGGACAGTTTCTACTGTATGAATATCACTTTCCCACCATTGTAAAGTCAAAAAAATTATAAAACAAGCCTTTATAAGTTGGGCACAATCTGTATATATTATAGAGATATATACTTTCTTGTATCTTATACACCATCTATATCCCTATCTCTATATACCATCTATCTAACTGTTTTGATCTAAGTTTCCTAACAGATTTATTTCTAATTCTGTTTTTCTTAAGAATTTTAAAATCCTGAAAATTTATACTTCTGAAAGAGATAAAATTGTGGGCTAATTTTTTTTCCGTATTTTTCCAGTGTAATTTGGAAGTCAAAATTGGCCGTGCTGAGAATTAGATCATTAGAACATAAACCTGGTTTCTCACAGGACATAGTCAAGCCATCATGTAGCTGTGAACATGACTAATCCTCTCCTTCTGAGCAGTGATTGCTTTTTTACCATCTCCACCTCTTGTTCTGATTTAAGTCTTCCTTCCTCCTGGATTAGAAATTATTAAATCCCCCAATCAACATGTCTTTCCACGGTTTGACACTATCCAACCCAGAATAGGTCCCTACTTCTCTAATTTCTCCACAAACTTACTGAATAGTACCTCAAACCCTAGAAGAAGTCCTCCCAACTCCCCTTTCCTGAAATGTCCCCCAATATTTCCTAATGTGTGTTTTCCCTTGCTGCAGAGAGCTTAAAAAAAACTGATTTGTTTCAGTGCAAGAGTGTCCCCTTTGATCTTTGATTATGGATTTCAACAATAATGATATAGGGCTCAAAGGAACTCTTTTATCTAATGACTACACACACACACACACACACACACACACACACACACATTTATACTCACGCAGATCTTGCCCTAGGTCTCAATAAGTCTGTATGCTACAGGGAAAAATATGTGTGTGTTTTATGTAAAAAAGAAAACTGAATTTTTCTGAGAAAGAACATTTTAGTCCCATTCAGATTTTAAATGAATGGAAAATGCTCCTTTGTATATGTTTCAAAACCTCTGAGGAGAATTCGTTCTCTATTGGCTGCCTTACAGGATTGGTCATGTGAGCTGCTAAGCCATTTTAAATAATGCTGGGAATATAAGTCAGTGGGACAGAGAGTCCTGAGATGATCAATCATATTGCATTTACTGCTAAAACCAATATTTTCATTGTTTATTCTTGTTATTTCAACCCCTTGCTTCCCTGGCAGAAACAACTGAATGGGACAGATTCTGAGAATTTTACTAGCAACAAATATATGTCAAACATTATTCACCCAAGGTATATGTCCCGATGAAAAATAAATAGAATTTATACATTTTCCCCAGGAAGAATGAAAATTTGTGAGTTAGTTTAGTTTCCTGGTCGGAATCCTGTGAATGCTTTCTGCGATCATCACAACTTGAGATTTGTTACTTTAAAGATATAAAGGAAGACTATAAAAAAGATTCATAACCTCAAATTACATTAACTGTACATTAAGGGAGATGCACAAATCCCAAGAAATAATGAAATGTCAGGGTTAGAATCATCCCTTTTCAGGTTTAGTGCTCAATCTCCTATGATCTTGCATAAAATGCTATTGCTGTTCACCTTGCTATTAGGAAGTACAATTGATTTGCTTGCAATATTTATTAGTGCATTAGTCATGTACATTAGCACCAAACTGGAAACAAATAATGCTTTACTTCCCTAAGTCTGTGGCAAGCCAATGCAAGTGAAAATGTAGGTACTGATATAAATACAAGTGTGACTCACACTCCTGAAATATCCTTCCTTTACCTAGATTTACCAGAAAAATTTGGAGATAAACATCCACCAACCATTTCGATCTTTGATGAGTTAGAACCATTCACCTTAGTCTGGTTATTTTTTTTTTTCTTTTAGCTTGGTGTTCTTTTGACAAATTACCAATAAGGAGTCACAAAATAAAACTGAAAGTAATAGTTTATTTGATATTAATGCATAAGATAGATTAAACCCTGAGGCTATCATTTCACCAAATATTTATTTCAGCTCAGGTGTCATCCGAAATTCTACAGAAGACTTAGTTGTTTGTTTTAAAAAACAGAGAAATGTATCTTCAAGCAAATATAGGTAAATCTGAAGTCCTGATGTTATTCAAACAATTGACTTCACCATCACTACTGCCATCAACTTTAGACCACTCACTCCATGACCAACTATTTCAATTTCTGTCTCTGGTTACTGGCATACGATATTTTTTGTAATAAAAACTAAAACTGGCTCTTTCCAAAGGACTTTGGAATTGAAGGTAGGACTATTTGAAAAATAGTCCCCTACATCCTGATCCTTCAACAATTCCCCAAGGTAGGGTAGCTTTAGGACTGGCCTCTCCTCTGCTTTGTTGGGGAGATTGTAGCAACAACCAAGAAGAGTGGACAGTTGATAAATATTAGTAAAACTAGTTTTATAAAATAGTAAAACTAGTTTTATAAAAGTACTTTTGAAAATAGTTTTATAAATATAAATCGTAAAAATAGTTTTATAAATACATGATGGGTTTATGTATTTTGTACTAAATCCTGTCATTTTAATTTTCTCTTCATTTTGGTTTAGCAATATGGCCAAATCACAATATTTTTCAAATAGTCCTAACTTCAATTTTACTACTTGAGAATTTGTTTTAATCCAAATTGAGCCAACCAGTCTAATAAACTGCCATCATTTATTGAGTGCTTAATGTGTGTCAGATCCCGATACATCTTCTGAACTTCACAAAGCCCTTGCAAGATAGGCATCATTATCCTATGTGACATATTTTATTTCTTAAAGATGGCCAGAACCATGCTTCACATTGGTTGTGATTTTTGCAGCATGACTTTGTCATTCTTTGTCAAAAAGTCCTAACTATTCTCTATTCTTAGGTCGGGTCAGGCTCTGTAGTCTCTAAAAAGAACACAGTGGGACTGGCACTGTGCCATTTCATGTAACCCTTGACTGGCCTTGCAACTTCCTCTTCCTGTCTCTTCCTATCTCCAGGAAACCAGTCACCATGTAGGATTTGCAACATCCTTAAGTCCACTATATAGTGAAAAGCTCCAGAAACTTAGAAAGATTCTGAAGGATGAGATACTACATGGAGAAAGGGCAAGGAGTGTGAAGATGGCAGGAGTTATGAAGAAACCACTAACACCCAGTTGAATGCCAGAGCACTGGCACCAGATACTGTGAGTCAGAGACCACAGTCCCCTTGTGCCAAGCTCAAATTCCTCCTCATGGCACTGTGAACTTTTGAAGGTGATTCTTGTGTTTATCTGGAAGCTTGGGAGAGTTCCTTAGGCAGAGATAGCCAAAACCCCATTGTTTTGAAGAAAGCACAAAAGCTCAGGGAAGGTAAGAAATTTGCCCAAGTTCACATGAATATGGACTATCCTTACACTTAGCCTTGCTAAGCCAAGATTTGAATCACATTTTCTTAAATATATATCCCATGGTCTCAACCTCTACATAATTCAGAACTTCAATATATATCTAGAAATGTTTTTCTAAACAGACTCAAATTGCAAGTGGTACTATAGGGAACATGTTACTTAAGAGAATAATCTCAGTTTATGGGCTACAACATATGTGTGTTTATAACCAAGCAGATGCTGTTAATTACAAATTTATTTTATCTATTTATTGAAACCAGCTGACATAGTCTCTACTTAGAGGCACTTCAATTTAAAATATGAATTTTAAGCCAATAGAACTGCATCATTTTCTTTCCTAAAAAAAAACAAAAACACATTTATTTAGCTTTTCACTAATTCATGCTAAATCTCCAAAAGTTTTCAGTAATATTTCAAACCAAATTTGCCTAAATTGTCATTTCCTATAAATTATTTCTCTAGTGCTCAGCTAAGAAAACAAGTCAAATAAAAGAGAGGTGTTAGGTAACCTTTTCTAAGATCCAGGTAAATTGACAACAAGAAAAAATTCTGTGAACCAAGGAGCCTCAAACTCCAGGCCTTTCCTATCACATATGTGTGCTGGCTTCACACCTGTCTTCCGGGTTTGAAATCTAGACCCATGTTCACATTTCACCAATCCCCCATGACAACTACAGCAGAACTCTCTTGACCAAGTTTTCATCAGTCTTGACTGAGGATTTAAGGAACCCAAGGCAAAATTACTTCACACTCAGAATTCTTGTTCCTCAAAGTTTCTTCATCTATCCTGGGACTTCTCTTTGAATTAGCTTATATAAATTATATGAATTAGCTTATATAAAGGCTAGTTTTGCAAAAACTCTGCTTTCAAACTTTCTTTCTTTCTTTCTTTCTTTCTTTCTTTCTTTCTCTTTCTTTCTTTCTTTCTTTCTCTTTCTTTCTTTCTTTCTTTCTCTTTCTCTTTCTTCTTTCTCTTTCTTTCTTTCTTTTCTTTCTTCTTTCTTTTTCTTTTTCTTTCTTTTCCTTCTTTTTGTCTTTCCTTTTATGAACATACCAAAATAGTGATCCTTCTATTCTATCTTATTTATTATTTGTTTGTTTTTTTAAAAAAACATGGAATGCTTCATGAATTTGGGTGTCATCCTTGCACGCAGGGGCCATGCTATTCCTCTTTGTATCCTTCCAGTTTCAGTATATGTGCCATCCAAGTGGGCACTCCATTTTATTTCTTTCAATTAAAAACATTATTTTTTTTTTGTATTTATTTTGCAGTTTGAGCTCCTGCCTCCACCTATTCCCAGAGGCCATGGACTTCTACCTTAATGGATTCCATAAAAACATTTTCCCTAAGGAGAAAATTCTCTCCCTCACAAGGAACTTCAGTGCTAGCTGTGAATACAATAATTCACTCACCATTTGTTTCTTGATTCTGACCACTCTTAACTTTGAAATCTTTGGGGAAGTTACTTAACACAGAGTCGGCTTTCATGAGATAAATATTGAATAACTGCAACCTCAAAATGTTCCTGAGAAAATGAAGTGGAATAAGGAAGATTAAGTCTAATAGAATGAACGAACTTCATCAACATTCATTTCCTTCCTGCTGATCTCCTGCAACCTTTCCTCATGCCTTTCTCTCAGCTATTAAAATCAATCTAGAGTGTTTCTTCCTCTTTAAAATAAATGTTACTCTGTACCAACAAAGCTTCCTGTTATTTAAAAATAACTTTTCTTTTCATCTTATTGCCTATTAGCTTCCACCCCAGTCTGTGGATATGCCTGATTTCATATATAATGTAACCTATTCTCTAGGTATAAATACATGAAAATAAGGAGATCTCATTCATTCTATTTATATTCTGTACTTCTAAACTCTTGAAAAAAGAATTCTACCCTCAGAGAACAATTTTAAGTTACTCTGTTAAATTGACCACATACAGCAATCATGCTATGGTGTTTGCGGAGACTGAGATTTTAGTTTTTCACAAACAAAAATTACGCTTTACAAAAGTATAAGAAAATGTCTCTGAAATAGTTAAAGTTAAAATAAAGCTATCTTATCAAGCACAATATATTTCCTGGTTTGATTTTGGGTTTTAGAAAATTTGTACAGATTGTTGTAATTAACACAATTATAATTATAATCAAAATAATTGCTGTTTGTTCTCTAAATTTCAATGAAGTGATGGAATTTTTAAATCTTTATGCTCTGATTAAAAATATGTAGACTTTTTTTTTGGTACTCTCTATATCTATATTACTTTAAAGTATTCAAGGTACTCCACAGGTTTAAAAAGTCATGTGAGGGGCACCTGGGTGGCTCAGTTAGTTAAGCATCTGCCTTCTACCTAGGTCATGATCCCAGGGTCCTGGGATCAAGTCCCACATCCCCTAAGATGGAGCCCCAAATCGGGCTCCCTACTCAGCGGGGAGACTGCTTCTCCCTCTGCCCCTATCTAGACTCATGCTCTCTCTCTCTCTCTCTCTCTCACACACACACACACACACACACATGGCCTCTTTCTCCCTCATAAATAAATAAATAAATAAATAAATAAATAAATAGTCATGTGAATTAAAGAAAAATATAGCAAGAAATCTGAAAAAGAAAATATGAAAGATTATATTGTCAATAACACTCCATAACTATTGTATCTCATGTGGTTGGAATCACAAAAGGTTTTTAGATACCTGTAAAATTATCCTGAAATATCTGCCAGGGTGGGACAAGTCCCATTCTCATTGGTATTCCACACCACTGCCATCAGAGGAGGGAGATGGGCAGTACAAAGGATGGGGAGATGATAAAAGAGCACATATGGACCATGTTCCTCACTTCTCTGAAAAAAAAAGAAAAAAGAAAAGTAATAGTATGGCCTAACATTATGAAAAGGATGAAAAGTGGGTGGAAATTCTAAATATTTAGCATTGTGAATGTCTGTGGTAGTGTTTATTTACCTTTGACCTTTAAGATAAGATTTAACCTTTAAGATAACTAATAAAAAGGACTTACTCCAATTTCAGACACAACTTTGCATCTCCAGATATGATTTTGGGTCTTACCAATCAGAGAAAATCCAATGATAGGTAAATATAAAGCTGCAGCAGATTTGCCTTTTTTTTTTTTTTTTTTTTTTTTTTTTTTTTTTTTGCTAGTGCTAGCACTAACTCGCTCCCTGTTTTATTTGGCTTCCATTGCATCAGGTGGTTCTCTACTTGTCTCCAAGCTCCAGGGGTATATGTGATTCAGAAATAGCTGATCAAAATGCTTAATTTCCCAGCCTACATTTAAATCAGAGATGTGACCATGACCTAATTTGTTCCAATGAAATAGAATCACTGAAGCTACTGGACGAAGAACTTTTATTTATTTATATGCTTGTTCATTTATTATTGCCAAGAGAACTAATGTTCTCAAAGGAGAGTTGCTTGTGCAAAAAGGGAGCATGGCTTTGCTTCCAAAAGTAAGGGACTGATGCTATGATTTTGTTTCTCTAGTTTTGTTGAGTCCATATTGCATCTCTTTCTGCCACAAATTCTCATGGGCAATTGAATCTGCAAAGCCTTAAGAGCCAATAGGAAGTGTTATTTGTACCGTAGCATGCAACAGATAGGATTCCCTTGCATGGCTCACTCAAAACTGGCAAGTGAATTATGAAGTTATCAGAGATGGTATCTTAGTAAAAGTATATAGAAGATATATACAGTTTTGTTTAGTTTTGAGAGAGTATGAAAAAATGTCCCTATAATACTAACATGGGATTTTATTAATTCAGCAGTGTTTTGTAATTTCAAATAATTAATCTTTAACCTTCTTTACGTGTGTGTGACTACCAAGACATTCAGGGTACCTGTCCATTTCTGTGTTCTAGTTCTTATTAGCCCAGTATTATGAAAACAGTGTAATAGTGTAATGTTCTTTGAAATAGTTATATGGTCAAGGTCTCTGTGAATAGATTTTGGACAACACAAGACATCTTTCAGATGAAAGCAAACTCCTTCTGAAGTTGATTGTTATCAGAGGGAAAAAAAAGAAGAAAAATCTATTTCCAAGAGAATAAATGCATATCAGGTGCCAAGAACTAGATTATTTTGCTTTGGAGTAACTGAACACTAACTCCTAGGGACTAGAATCATTTGCTTAGTAGAAAATACCAATTCTGACAGTATTGTTATTTTTGGTAATTATTCTTCAATACCTTCAGTCTTGTACTTATGCTATTGGAGAATTAAATGGAAAATGCTGTAGGAATCATTATCACTGCATCTGTCACATTTTTGATGGTAGTTTAATTTTTGGAGTTTCCAAAGAAGCTATATTTTATTTTGTTTTGAAGGAAAAAAAAAACTTACACAGGATGAAATGCACAGCTCTTATGCATGCAACTGATGAGCTTTTGTAAATGTATATACCCCAAGCAATCATCACTTCAAATAAGTTATAAAACTTTTCCATCTCCCAAGCAATTTCCATCATTTCCTTCCACTTATATCTTTGAGCAACTCCCTAGCATCCTACTTCATGTCATAGTAAGCTTCTCTAGATCTGGGAAGCCAAGGCTATTTTTTTTAAATATCAGAGTGTTGTGACTCTTACCCCAATTTGCCAAATCTCCCTCATCTTCCCTTTCAATCACACCTATCCCACCTTCGCTTAGGAAAACTCTCTTCTGATTTATCATCTGAAATTAGTGTTGCCTGTACTTTAAGAGGCAAATAATGTGAAGGGAAAAAATAAAAATAAAATAAAAATAAAAAAAAACAAATAATGTGAAGGTATGTAGCTTTCAGGAAATGTGTTGTTTTATAGATCAGATGTACAATCTTTTAGCCTTTGTTCTGGAACCTGTGGCTGTTTAGATATATGAGCTGGATGCCATTGCAATCTATTGATCAGAATAAGCTTCATAGCTGTCAAGTGATAAATGAAATTTGACCCTAGTTTACCTCAGGGTAAGGCCAAAAGGATCGTAAAGAAAATTGTTGGTAATATTTCTGTCTCTGAATATACTATTTGAAATAAATATGGTAGTTCATTCAGGCTGAGTACAATAAAAAAAGGAATAGATATTATATGGACAATATTTCTAAAATATGAGATGATGCAGAAACAGTAGGTACCTATTCATCACCTTCCTTCTAGCAAATTATTCAGACATTTATTAACTATTTGGTGCTGAAACATTAAAGCACATTTCAATTAATTCAAGATTTGAGGAACAACACATTGCAAGGAGGACCCATTTGGAGGAAATCTGAGTGCAGTATTGAAATAACAGTACAAATAAAAATTGATATAAGATGAACATACATGGAATGTTACTTATTCAATTCAATATTGAGGTTATTTATTCAATTCAACAAATATGTATTGAGTTTCTATTTCTACACGTGATTATTTGTTTAATGCTAATCTCACATGTGGTGACACATAAAGATGTTATTGACACTTTGTTAGGCTACAATAGGTGATGTAGATAGATACTGATTATATGGAATATTTCTTTTATCTCCTGAATGGAGGACATAACTGCACCAAACATTTCACTTATTTCTTACACATTTTCCAGGTCCCATATAATCAGGCAGAGCCAAATTACTACTCTAGTCAATGGGCTGTGGAAGGAGTGACTTGTTTTGCTTTTAGGAAAAGCACATAAAAGCCAGTAACGCTCCTGTTTTTTCCTCTCTGAATGATGCAACCCAACTCCTCTGATACATATGATCTGTAATATAAACTATCAATGATATATGACATACTCACAACACACGCCCATTCAACTGCTCTGTATGCTGTTGTGCCTGTCGCACTGTCTTATACTTGTCATTGAGAACACTTTTCAAGAAAAAGTCCTATGTGAAATCTCTCTCATAGAGTATGTTTCCTAGGGAACTACTCTAGAACAAGGCATTTCTGTTCACTGCTTACTCTTCTAACTTTATCACATGCCACTCCCCCACCCCCACCCCAGTCAGTACCCAGTGACAACAGTCTTTGAAAGGTTTCAATCTTTCGGGCTTGCCAAATGTTTTCTGGTTTCGTTCTTGTTTTTTTTTTTTTTTTTTTTTTTAAAGATTTTATTTATGTATTCATGAGAATACGTACACAGAGAGAAAGAGAGAGGCAGAAGCCCAGGCAGAGGGAGAAGCAGGCTCCATGTAGGGAGCCCAACACCTACACCTACTCGATCCCGGGACTCCAGGATCATGCCCTGG